CGACAATACCCCTACTATATGCCTTGTGTTCTTTTTACGAATATCAGCTTGTAGCCGAACAGCCCCTTGGTACACATCGATTGACAAAGGACGTGTCATAGACACGTCCTGGTTTCACAGATACACTGCAACTGTGGCCTAGATCAGCGCCCACATAGTTACTCCCGTATAAAAGCACCAGAGCGGGCACGGACTAGCCTGCTGTTAGATATTAAGGTTCATAAGGGTTTGGTAAAATTGAAATATAGCTAAGTGCAGGCGCTCAGTTCCTTGGGGGGGCACCTTGGGGGCCCCTAAGGTTGAAGTTGGCAGAGCAGGGAGGCCCGGGGGCATCTAGGATTGCACTCGATCCTCAGAATTGCGTTCGATTGTGTGATTGTAGATCCCTCCACCATGCGACCCTGTCTTCTTAGTGGTCTCGTAATCCAATAACTGGCATTGTTCCAATCCCATGTATGCGCAGGCTTGTGCCGCTATGCGTCGCGCATGAGGGGTTCTGGCGCATCAGTATCCAAACTATGGGTTTCAGGTAACACATAATCACACTTCTATGCACCGCTTAACATCAGAAATAATGGCTATATTTGCATCGGAATTTCCCGCACCGCATGAGCCTTGTGAGTATTACTCATAGTCACCCTCAGGTGGCCAGATCCACCTGGTGAGGTATAATTCTTTCAAGCTGGTGGAGCTACTGCGAGCCCCTGACCTCCGTCTCTGTTAGCTCCGTGAGAGTCCTGTATGTATCTGGTGGGCATGTACTAACGCGAAGGTGGACGCCCAGAACGCAGAATTCCGCCACTGGAAGTGATTTTGCCATGGCGAGGTTTTCTTTCATGAAGATTGTTGTCCTCCTCCCACTGCCCACCATAATTAGCCAGCCCATCTGTAGTCCTGCCCCAGATTTCGTTCATTCGTCCCCTCGCCTTACTCCGGAGATTGTATCCGCGCGTAGACTGTGCCATAGAAGCACAAACTCATGCTCTGGTGCAAACCGGTGGGTCGTTACATCGAACTCATGTATCCTGAGCCTCGAGTACTAGTTGGTAATATCCGAGGCCTGCTCTAAATGTACTCCAGCGGTACCTGTTTTTCTGAGCAACCGATTAGCATATGTCGACTCGTTTTTGGGTTGCCATGGGATTTAACGGTCAGACTGATGTTGCGTCTGACTTTAAATACAGTGCTTGTGTAAATGCAGTCCCAAATATTTTTGTATCCCAGCGAGGGTGACACCCCAGGTGCCCGTACGCACCGATGACAATACGCGGGACAGAAGGAGAGAAACATACCACTAAAGGGACAGATGATCGACGACGCAGCCGATGTGTTATTTGAGGGCGGAAAATAATCGGCGACCGAATCCAGCTTCATCTCGCCAACACTGAAGAGCTCGAACTTGATGCGCCCGGGATCGACGCCCATATCGACGAGTTGTTGTATCATAGTCTTCATAAAGGGCTCCGGGCCGCAGATGTAGTACTCGGCCGAGCCGTGGTCAGTGTGCAGCAGTTCCGGTCGGACCAGATTCAGATTGACGCGACAGTTGAAGTCGTAGGTCACACCCTGGACGTCACCCCTCATGGGTGCGGTCTTGAAGATCGCTGTTTGCAGGTATGGGCAGCGCCGCTGAATCACGGCCAGTCGCATGTTGAACGGGACGTCTGTCCGACAGCCGTGGACCCAGGTGACGTGCCGCGTGGGCTGTCCTTCTGTGACAGCGTTCAGGATGGACATGAGGGGACCGACACCACTCCCAGCGGAGATGAGTATTATTGGGATCCTGGTGGGTATTGAGGTGTCGACGAAGAACTCCCCCGAGGGGTGACTGCATTCGATCTCCTCGCCGGTTTGCAGCCGGTCGATGAGGATGTTGGAGAGCATGCCTTTCTCATGATCTGGACCATATGCTCTGACCCTCTTGAGGGTGATCCGGTAATAGTCTCCTGCTCTTGGTACATCGGACAGCGAGTATTGCCTTGTCTGGTAGTACCCGACCTCTGGCACGAACAACCTGATGCTGATATACTGGCCCGGGAGGAACTTGGGGAGCTGTACATCATCGTTCGGCACCAAGTAAAGGCTGTAAAGGCCGTCGGCCTCGCAGACCTTCCGCTCCAGCGTGAACTTGCGCCATCCCGTCCACTTGTACCGTTCAAAGTCCTTATAGATGATCTTTTCCCTACCAATCATCATGTGTGAGAGTATCCGGTAGGCCTTTGTCCAAGCCACCTTCATTTCAGACGTCATCTGTGGGCCCATACTGTCTTCAAATGTTTCGATCAGAAGATCGCCCAGAATCTCATAGTGTTCGGGCTGGACGCCAAGTGTGCAGTGCTTGTTGCATATTCGTTCAAATTTAGGTATGAGTTCGGAAAAGTTGTTGATGCTGCTCGCGAATCTTAGGATGACGACTGTCAACGCTCGCGCCAGGCGTCCATCTTTGAGGTGGATGAGATTGAGGGTGTTATTGAGTTCGGGATGCTTCTTCATGAGATTATTGTAGACGGTATGTGAGATGCTTTCACCGTGTTCCTTGAGGAATGGTATGGTTGACTTGACCAGTTGGGCCTCGTTGTATGTCAATGCCATATTCAAAGTCACTACCGCCTGTGACTGGTGATGGCATCAAGCAAATAACTTTAAAGTAGGTGGCTGCAGGTGGCGGACTCGTGGGGAGGGAAGTTTGCGAGGGAGTTGTTGCAGCATTGCAAATATCAAGATCCACCCGTAGACTCCACCGTATGCATTTGGAACCAAGGCCGACTGGTCAATTTCGCTGCTTTACCACTCGGATCGAATGTCGGCTGGAGATCAATGGGAAAATGTGGGAATGCGTCGTATTTAACCATGCTGTTTCTCCAAGCCCTCTTTCCCCCTCACAATAGTTCCTCCATTATTGCAGGCTTTTGTGAGGTCTGTGAACCTTATCTATTGACACCCAATAAGTATATTTGTCTTTTAACTAGATTTGGGATAGTTTGCCTATCCGCACTAGCTAAGATGGAATATCCACACATGCAGGTCATCAAAGTATGTAGCTGTCAACAAGGTAGTTCAGACAGGCCTTATTGCTCATGTGACTACATATGAAGCCTTTTGCCTGTCATAGCAGGGGCGTGGGTTTCAAAACTCAACCCCTTCCATGGTCTTGGATGAGGTAGAAACCAATGGGAAACATTTATCTTTCTCGAATCTCGAAACCAACCAATGGAAGTGACGGAAGAAGAGCATAGGACGCATTAACCAAGACCAAGCCTTATAATTCGTTCAAGTATATAGAAGGTGCTTGGGCCTTTAAGATAGCCCGTCAATTCTGCTGCATATGACAGAAGTACTGTGCATATGACATGTGAGATCGCTCTTGGGCTTCAACCCTTGTCAAAACTAACAGAGCATGAAGAGCGATTATTGTTGTGGTCAACAGTCTCTCCATTCCCACGCGGTTCCCCATGGGAGATTCTCACTGATACTTTGAGATCAGAGGCTAGTCATATTATATGTTGGCATCTCTTGAGCCATATATCCATCTGGAGGGAGCCTTATGAAAGATTGAAGGAATAGTAGATACCATCGATATCTATTGAATGTTGACGGAGAAAGAGAGGGCTGCAATGAGAGCCTATGTCCTTGACAAGGTCAGCCCAGGACTCCAACCGTTCAATCTCACGGCCCGGTTCTGTACCATGTGCAACGACATTGAGGCTGAATCCTTGTCTAATGTAATGCATGGGATATGAGAACCGGTTTGTTGCCATTGAAGGGATGCAGTGTTTGGGGTGTATCCTGCAGCGAGCAAGTGGTTGGCTGAGTGAGACTGGACATGAAAAACTGAGTTGTGACCACGGACTTGTCGCTGCACGCTCATGTACTTACCGGTCAATGCCAATAATGCCTACCTTTCCCCAGGTCTTTCAGTGTGCCCTGGCATGGATAATCCTGGTAGAACAACATATTGTGCAATGAATTCCAATCAAGTGATCCTTCTGCACCGCAGGCTCGGACCAACTGCAAACTATGATGATCATATTGAACCTTGGCGAGTACGATCAGTATGGATTCAGCAAGGAGAACATGCCAGTACCACCGGCAAAACTTTTTCTCACTGTGGCGTTTTGGTCCTTTCCATAATCACGTATCGATCAATGCTCAAAGGGTGGCACTAGGCTTCTCTGGTGATTGCAACATCATCCCTACTGGAGTCCGCTTTCAGAGTGCACTTAGTCCTGGATCCTGTGAAAACTTAAAATTACACGTATATACCAGCTCTTGGATATAGCTTAAGTCTTGTTATGGTTGCTGAGTGGATTCAAAGGGTGGGTTATGTGCAATGCGGGTTAAAAAACCCAGAGGGGAGGAGGGGCTTTCCAACTTACACGTTGGATCTTTATCTCACTGAACTAATAGGCGACCCAACCGGTCTGCAATCCCGGACAAGCTAACGTCCGAGGATGGACGATCTTGTCTAGATCTCGGCACTGGAAAGGAGGGGTGAAGCCCTCTCACCCTAGACCAGGGTCAGTTCAATAGCATGTTGGGTGTGTTTAGCACAGGGTTCATGGACTCAGGGGGCGAGAGCCTTGGCAATAACTCGACATACCTTGAAGCCAGCGTGTATTCAGGTGTTCCTTTGAGGATCCCAAGGTTGAGCTTGATACTTTGGAGGTCAAGCCACTGGGCGCACGGCGTCATTGCCAATTACTTATATGTACAAGTTTTCTCAGTGAGGGCCTTCAAGAGGCGATTCTGCGTGTGGTAAGTCATATTGCCTGTGGTGTCTGCATATATATACTATGGCTTATGCAGGTGGTATAGACTTTCGGACTATTATCACATTTTGGGTGAGTAAGTATGCAACCGCGAAACACAATCAATGTGCTACAAGGATCAAGGCAGGAGAAATGACTCCCGAACTCAGAAGGGGGCGGAATACCATCCACAGAGTACCGAGTCAGGAATATAGGAGGAATAGAATTCGTGGAGTCACAACACACAAAGAGGGTTCTATAGTGTAGCTGGTTATCACATCGGATTCTGATTCCCTCGATCATTCCGGTAACCTGGGTTCGAATCCCAGTAGGACCTCAAGGTCTATAACCCACTTTTTTGCCCCGTATTGATAAAGTTTATTTTCTCTTTTTTCTTGATTTTCCCTGCTTTGCTTCATTTTTCCCCTCGAAGATCTGTGGGCACGATCTATTATATCCATGCAAAATAGCAAATATCCTGGATCCTATTATTGCCATGAGCCCGATACATCCGTATGTATTGTCGATCAAATATGCAAAGAAAGGGGAAAGAGGGCCACTTCCACCCTCCACGCGGACGCTGCACAGCATGGCGCGATTTTGATGCCCACAATCCAGACCGCTCGATGTTGTGCTGCTGAGTCGCAATGTGCCGCGCAGCCACAGCAGTTGATACTCTGCGTGGCCCGCACCGAGTACGCGTATGACTACGTAGGTAAGGATTAGCTCCTTTACAATGCATGCGTCGCATCGGGTAACCTTGCTATCTGATTTGCATGACTAAAGGTGTTTATGTGGCCGAGGTTTGTTAGGGTCGTCACAATCGTACTCGATCGTCTCCGTAGACTGATGTTCGTTCACATACCTCGGTAGTCCAGATATGTTGTATGGAAGGTGGACACAGATAACAATCCATCGGCAACGGTGCCGGCCCTGCAGCTGGTAAATAGTGATCCCCGTGGAGCTATACGGATCCAAGGCTGGTACACGATCGCGTCATGTGCCGTCTGGGGAGTTTATATGGCCGTCGGATCTCCGAGTTGGCGAGGGATATGTACCCAAAAGAGCGTTGATTATACATATCCGATAGTCATACATATAGGGATATGTTCGAGGCTGAAGATGGGTACGGATGGATGTCTGACTCGGCAGTCGGGCGGATTTACATACATACATATGTATATGCATGGCCGTTGGTGTTTGTGTCCACGGATGGATAGCTTCCCCAGACTGCCCGCTGCCCGGGACCAAGGAACGGACCAAGATTGATGAAGAGGTGGCGCCCCCCCGGCTTGGCAGCCCTACGGGATCTGCAAGCCCTCCTGACAATCAACAGATCAATCAAGCCCATCGGATAATAATTGGACCACGATGTGTTTGAATCTCATCACGGTAGGCCGTTTGATTAGCAGTTAGCCAGGCGCAATTGCCATACCAGTGCATACCAGCAGCGCCAGCCGCCGTTCCTTTATCCGGCCAGATGTGTCGTCGTGACTCGTCAGCAAAAGATGCGCCCGACCAACCTGACAAGTGCATATCTTCATCTTTGAGGATGACGTTTTGGGTCGCGTAGACTGGGCGGGATCCATTGGTCCACCGCTGTTGCCACGAAGCCACCGGGCCTCCTTTTTCTCATTATTCCCGGAAGATTCTGATCTGAGTGGAGTCGGGCCAGTGCTCCTCGCTCCCTCCTCCCCAGGCTCCCAGGCTGCCGGCCTCTTCCCGCCGCCCCCAGGAACCCGTCGTGCCACGCGATCATCAGGGGGAAACCGTCATGAGACACTACAGGTCGCTGTGAAACCAGGATGTGCCTCACGGCAGGCCACAGTTGCGCCCATGGTGTAGTACCAGATTGCTATCATCGTACGTAGTGATACGATACCATGGTACAGCCGTTTCCTGACCGACATGCTGTTTACTACATATGTACAGTAGGTATGTACTGACCGACAGCCGATCATCCAACAAGAGGACACGGCAGGAAGCGTCGACTGCTCTTGCGTAAGCTGTCACGCTGCGTCGGCAAAAGTGGACCGAGAATAATGGATCCGTTAGCCACCCTGGGGCACATGCACAGAGCAGAGAGAGGGAGAGGGAGTGGATGGGCGGCTAGCCTTCACTCTAATAAGTAAAGAGCCAAGCTCGCCGGGCCCGGTGCCGTCGCTTGTTTCTGTCTCTCATGCATTAATCTTTGTTTGCTACTTGCTTCATCCCCCCCTGCCCGCACTATCGCAGCCGGCGAGTAATAATCCCGTGTAATAATCAACAGACCATACGGTCATACATATCACACTCATTGATTCTGCTTTCTGCTGGTGTGCGAGGATACCTTCGTTTGTCTCACATCGTCACAAAAATGCCTTCGTTTCGCACTCTTGCTGCTGGACTCTCGCTCCTATCAGCAGTCGCAGCCTCGACGAGCTGCAACCCCACAGAGGGTATGTCTCACATGGTCAACCACGAGGCTCTGCCTTGAGTCCAGGGTGCTAACGCTCTCTACAGCAACCTGCGACGCAGATGAGGGTCTCAACCAGGCGTCCTACTCGGTCGACTTCACCCAGGGAGCAAGTGATGACTGGACGGTAACATACGGCAATGTCACATACGATGATACCAACGGAGCCGTATACGAGATTGCCAAATCGGGTGATGCCCCCACGGTGCAGTTCAACAAGTATATTTTCTTCGGATCCGTCTCGGTCGTGATGCAGACCGCGCCCGGGACCGGCATCGTCAGCTGTGCCATCCTCGAGTCGGACGACCTGGACGAGATCGACTGGGAGTGGCTCGGCGGCAAGTCGACGCAGGTGGAGACCAATTACTTCGGCAAGGGCAACACGTCCACATGGGACCGCGAGACTTACATCGACATGGCCAACACCCAGACGGAATTCCACAACTACACCATCATTTGGACCAAGAAGACGCTCGAGTGGCTGGTCGACGGCTCCGTCGTGCGCAGCCTGGCCTATGCCGACGCCAACAGCGGCAACAGCTACCCCCAGACCCCGATGCGGGTGAAGCTGGGCATCTGGGCCGGCGGTGACTCGAGCAATTCCGAGGGCACCATCGAGTGGGCCGGCGGCGCGACCGACTACTCTGACGGGCCTTTCACTGCTTATGTCAAGTCCGTCCAGATCACCAACTACAACCCGGCCAGCTCCTACACTTATAGCGACAAGACCGGCGATTACTCTTCCATCGTCCTCGACGACAGCGACAGCGACACCAAGTCCGATTCGGTCGAGACGTCTTCTGCTGCTGCCTCTGCTACCTCGTCTGTTACCTCCCCCGATGCGTCGTCTTCTGTTATATCCTCTGCTTCTACGTTGATTAAAACCTCCAAGACTTCTGCTACTGCGACCTCCGATGCTTCTTCGTCCTCTGGCACCTCAGACTCCGCGTCCGGATCTGGCACGAGCTCTTCAGCTAACTCCGCGAACCCGACAGAGTCTAGATCATCATCCTATTCATCGTCCTCAAGCTCAAGTAACAGCTCCGCCTCTAGCACTTCATCGGCCGCTTCCAGCTCCTCTTCCATCGTCGCGGCCTCGGGTGCTGCGGCTTGGCGCGGCAGTATGCCGGGAGCCTCCGTACTCTTGGCCCTCCTTGGATGTACTTTTGTGTTGGCCTAGATTAGGAAGAGCGATTAATGATGCATAATGACGGAGCGTGTCGATGTTGTTCTCTCGTTTTCGGTCCTGTTCTCGGGCGTTTTTCTTTTAGCTTGTGGGGCCTCCCCCTCCCCTCCTGGGGTGGACGACTTCCAGGCATGTCCTGGCGTTGCGAGACGTGATACCTACATTATATGCCTAGATACTTAAAGATATGGATACATGCAAGTAGCGGGTCATTGGGTTAGGATACATAACTATAATGATCATTTCATTACCCTCCACTTCCTCTTGCTCCTGTTCAGGAGGACTCGTCTAGTTATCAATCACGCATCATGGCATACTTGGTCCTCTTCGCCTATATATTCCACCTCCCCACAGATCTCCACACTGTGGCTGTTTGCTGATCTTCAAAGCCAACGGTTATCCTAGTACCTTTGGTTAGTAGGCTTTGCGTCGGCTTCCACAATCATGCTGGGGCAGCCCCGTCGATCAGGTCATCTCTCCAATACATAGCTACAAGCTACAACACGCCGGACTGCGAGAGGCTGGATGCCATTGTAGAAGTATACGATCGGGGATGTGTTAATTTCGAGTAGAGGAAATTTGCTCCGAGGTTGCGATTGCGAGAGAATCTTCCCCCATACACTTATACGGCGCTACTCGCAGGGGTAATCCTGACAAGTATTCCCGAACGAGAATCGTTGGCGCCGGGCGGACGCTCAGGGCTACCAGAAAGGAATGGCGCGGGTAGGACTAAACTCTGCTGGTTACTAAACAACAGCGTCTCACCTGGTTGGTGATCAGTGCTGCAAGACCAAAATAGAGTAAGAACCTTGGAAACTACCCGAGGCAAATACGCGTTCTGGGACTAATCGGGCGTAGAAGATCCGGGACGCTGGTCAGGTTCCAATGACCTCAAGGGTCTGTTCTTAATTCGATCTCCAACGAGGATCCCGGCATCTGGGTTGTGCCGTTGCATGAGACCACAACCCAGGCAACGGATGGAGTCACCACCGTCTGGTAGACCACGGACGACGATGTCTAGTACGAATGCGTCGCCAGCGAGGTCAATAGACGATAACTTAGCTGTCTGGGTACCAAGAGCGGCAGCGACCGGCTGCATGGGGTTGGCCTATTGGCTTGCATCGCAGAACGATCAGGAAATTAAGGGAGTCTATGCTCTCGTCTTCCCCTACTTCGGCAGCGATCGGGCGAGTCGCTTACGCGCGTCCTATCTGGTATCCAACTTGATCTCACCGATATTGATATGGACTATCGAAGGAAACCGGGCTGGAAACCGGGCTGGAAACCGGGCTGGAAACGCGAGGAATCTGCTAGCAGTGTGAGTATTTGGCTTCCAAGAACATCCCGTCCACAGGTCACAATCCTGACATGACAGTACTCGAATTAGACCATCACTCGTAGGGGCAGCGATGCAAATCAGTGGCATCGAGAAGATCGCACCAATATATTATCTCCTCGCCATCGCAGCCGGGGACACATCCACGGCGGACCGCAGAGTAACTCCTGAGACCGCAGTGGTCGTGCTCCCAGCAACACTCCTAGCCTACGTCCTGCCAGGAGTATTGATGGCCGTGCTGCCACTAACTGCCACCGAAGTGTCACGGTCCATCTTCACACCCCAGAGTTTGGTCTCCTACGCCTTTTTTCTTGCCCCCATCACCGTGCCCATATTGACTACGGCCATCTCTGAGGCCGT